TATTAAAATGCATCACTTTTATTTTTTTAAAACTGGCCAAAAACAGATACGAAAAAGTTATAAAACAGCGAAAGTAGCGACCTGTCCCAGCCCTCTTTTTATGAAAAAAACATCAAAAGTTTCATTGAAACCTGAAAAAATGAACTCACAATATTTGTGAAACATGAACGACATTTTTAATTAAAAGTTGTTATTTTTCAACAGCCACTTGCATTTTATTTTAAACATTTCACTGGAACTGCGGGAGACGGCCATTGGATACTAGGAAAATATAAACGAACTACTGTTCCCAAAAGAAGTATTTATAAATTAAGGGCGTTCAAACTTTTGCTGGCCGAAGTGTGACAACATCACAATTAAGTGCCGATTTTCAAAACCTATTTAGCATTTTTCATTTTTTTTTGACTGATTATTTAAAAAGTGCTTTGGTAATTATAAAATAAAAAAATTTGGTAACAATAAAAATAATAAATGTGCTTTTTGCGAACTAAAATGTTAATCACAGAATACATCAAATATATATATAATAATACCATTAAAAATTTTGCAACCCTTCATATTTTGCTTGCGAATTTTTCAATACCATTTATGCGATCTAAAATCAAATTTACAGTTATTTTTTTTATGTGAGACCATGGACATCAGGGAAGTCGCCAATGCAAGTTTAACAGCAAATAAAACAGTTCAATAATTTCAGTGACAGTTGAATAAGAATATTCTTACATGATTAAAGTTTTAGTTTGCTAGCAGAGCACTTTTTAAACTGTCAATCAGGAATATTGGCAAATACTTTTTCTTTTTACTTCAAATTACTTTTGAAATATGACAGTTAATTGCGATGTTGCTGTGCGTATTCGGTATTTCTCGTTATGAAGCCAATCACAAAATGATTTAACAATTACATTGTTTTTTTAAAAGTTTACTGTTACTAAAGTAATAATTATAACATAAAACACGTGCAACTAGTTTAGGTTTTTTATTAGAAGCGATAGCGAAGGCACTATTGCCAAGACATTTAATTGATTTGTGTTGGGTTGCCAACAATTGCCATACTTTGTTATGAACGCCCTTAATATATATTATTTATTTTTGGTATGCTGCTATGTAACGCGTTATTTTCGTCACTTTTGAACCAAAACTTCAATAATTCCTTTTCCTCCCGTGTTTATCTCATATTCATTTTATGATGACCGAAACCGTTGCTTTGCGGAGCTGAATCCTGGGTGTTATCCAGAAAATCTACTTGTAGAGACAATTACGTTTACTAAATTAATTTTTTTACGATTATATTTATATTTTCCTTATAGACTACAAAAAGGGGTTCATTAAAAAGAGTGTCTTAAGGTTTCTTCAGAGTCAGCAAGGTTACAGTGATCGTTTACTATCAGACGAACTGCGTGCCTGTGGTGGCACTTTCATGGTATAAAAAAATATTTAATATTTCGTGGTTTGTTTATAAGAAAATGAGAACAATGAAATTACTTACATATCAATACAAATTTACAGCAAAATCTACTTTTAATATTAATGATTTTCTACACTTCTTAAACTTAAAGATTTAACCATTATTTTGCACTTTTACAACTATCTAAACATTAATTAATCCTACAACGAGTTTCATGCAGCAATTTTGTGGAAAAAAATATTAAAACATTATACCACTCAATTTGTGTGCTATGAAAAATATATTAAAATATTTTACAAACAAATATTTTAATAGAGAATAAACAATTATACAGAAACAAAGTTATACAATTACAAATAATAAATATTCGGAAACATTTTACAGCCCAACGCCGGAATTCCGAAACGGAAGAGAGACGTCACACCTCGCTAACCGGGCCATTGTATATACAACTGTTTATAATGCTTTCATTCCAAGACCAACTGAATTCTTGTTACGCCACAACACTGACCCGACGTGGAACGGTAGACTTATTAAATCAGAAAGATTGAAACGTCTTACAGTTTTACAGTACAGTGTTACCGTTGCATATTTTATCCCTTTCTATACTTAGTGATAGCATGTAAGAAAGAACGTAATAGCAGATACAGTGTTATGTGGCCAGCATCTTTCAAGCGAAACGACGTCGAGTAAACTCTCGCAGATTTATTAGCATTGCTTTTTAAGAGTGCCTCATATGAGATCTTGTATGAAACTTTTTGCTACATAATTAATTTTTTAACTCTCGATTTTCAATTTTAAATTAAAATATTATGTAGGAGTCTTAACAAATTAATGACGCTGAATATTTTTATTTATTACATGTTATCCTTTTGTTTTTTTTTTTTGTTGACATTTAATTGCCATATAGATTAAAGTATTTCACAGATAAATAAACAGTGCTCAATATATTTGAAGATTATTTCTTTATTAAATCTAAGCGCATTAGATAACAGTTTCACCAGATGGTATAACTGAAATAATGCCAAAAGTGAGTTTCGATCTTTGGTTGACATTAATCCAATTATTGAATGACATAACGACAGCATGATGGATAGTCTCCTAGAAGATCCCTTACAGATTCCAAAAATAAATTTAATTCAGTGATGAAGGAACAGATATAAGCTCAGACAAAAAAGACTCTGAAAATCAATTGTGAGACTTCCTCCCATCGTGACGAGGGTTTTATATAATCTATATGACTTACATCGATGGGTTTCATAATATTTTTCTCCTTTTTGTTGTTTGTGTTTATAACTTTTTCTAGTCATTTTTTATCCATCTTCATGCCAATTCCTTTATGTGATAGGCAGAAAAACCTTAACGCTAAAGACCTCTATCCTTATAAGCATTTTACACTTTATTCACAATTCCTCATATGCATATATACCGGTTACGGAAACACTTAATTCCTTTTACGGTCTATCAGAACATTATGCTCCTGTTATCGGTTCTCGGAGCTATAAATTATTTACCAACTTTAGTGTTTAACTTTGGGTTTCCTTTCTCTGTGCTATATTTTTCTTATTCGCTTCTTACAACTCTTGGAAATAAAAAGTAATGATTACATGTTCTTGCTGTATGTAAAAAAAATACTGGTATGATTTTTAATGAATGACATATAAAACGGTAGCCCCACCTGCGCTATTGGTTTATGCTATGTTATATTAATGGATGCCATTGTGGGAGGATAAATAAGTATGAAGTCAGATCAGATAATCTATCGTGAGGAATTCAAGTGAAATTAACTACGATAGTTTACATGGGTAAAACAACGTACCTAAACAATGTAGTAGGATACCTAGCAATTAAGGGAAGGAGAGATTGTTAGTAGTGGGGACTAGAGGCCCCGTTACAATACATCCTGTCAAATCTACTTTCATGCAGTTCCCGCTGAAAACTATTGTAGTTTATTATATTTGTATTCGTCATAGTGAGGCAACTGGTCTGCTTTCATAATAACCGATCATCCGTGATTAGTATCCCGCCAGCATATACCGATAGCGTAGAGGGTGTTATCATTTCATTATTATACTAACAATCCCTTCTCTACGAATACATTTCATCATCATCATCATATCAACCTTTAATTGTTCACTGCTGAACATAAGTCTCTCCCTTATGAGGTTTTGCCATTAGTTGCCACGCTTGGCAGACGGATTTGCAACGGCAGTTAGGCATTGGATTTGTTTTTGAGGGACACTGCTGCCCGTCCCTCGCCCATCCTTAATCGCCTCTTACAACACCCACGAGAAAGGAAAGTTTTGCTAGAAGTTGCCACGTTTGGCAGGCGGATTGGCAACCGCAGTTAGGCTTTGGCGACATTTTAAGAGGGACGCTGCTACCCATCCCTCGTCCTCCCTTAGTCGCCTCTTACTACACCCATGAGAGATGAAGGGGTGTCCTGTTCTATACTGGAACCACACTGTTTAACGAAACGAATACGTTTAGACGTCCTGTAATCGGTCACCACATGGAACGCAGGGCGTAACCAGCTGCTCCTTCCGCCGCGACGTTTTCCATTGGGAAAGCAGCAACTCGTGTAATTAGTAGAAACGAGAGCGAAGCGATTTCCGAGGCGGATCGCGCAACAATTAGCCCGAGTGGTTCACGGTGTGAGTTGTAAGCGGTGCCGCCTATCATATGCTTATAACTAAGCGTAAAGCTGCATTTAAAACGCTAAAAGATTTTCCTTTTTAAAAATCACGCTGTAACAGCTACCTATTTCACTTATATTACGTACTCAGATTATTATTACCATCTCTAATAGAACATATATGGGGGGGGGGGGGAGGGTTGTTAGCAATGGAGTTTGCCCCATTGCAAACATTAAGCCCTATTAAGTCGACCTCCATGTGGTTCCCACTGGAAACTATCGTGAACAATTCTTGTTGAATTCGTCACGATGGGCTAATTAACGTGCTTCATCCTCACCTATCATGCTACAATGGTGCCCCGCCGGTGTATACACATGTCACAATATTGAAGACTCTTTTTTTGATACGAGTACATATTATCTGATTAATATTTGTTCGATTGTCGTAACTCATATACATTTTCCGAGTACCCACATAAGATTTTTGCTACCACGTAAATCATTCTGTCATTATGTTTATACTGTATATATATTTTTTGTACTTTAACTTCGTGTACGCGGAAATACATTTGATTTTTTATGCATTTTTTTTTTGTTATACAAATTAGAATGATAAGCAAGTTAACAGTCCATCTAATGGAAAGTGGTAACTTATAGATACAGGATCATGGGCATCTTTAAATAATCTGTAACACCCATGACAGCGTCCTTTCGTTGCTATTCCTGAATATCTAGTTGCTCCTACGGAATTTATCCTTTAATCTTATAAAAAAATAAATATTTATTTGGGTGTTAACTTCTCCATCTTGCTACCGTTGGCGCAATCACTCAATTAACACCACAGTAGCTTATAACTTGATCCAATTATTAATAATGTAAGGCGGGCGTGCGCGCGTCTGCGCGTGCGACGGTACGCTTCACATTCGCGTCGCGAGCCGCCCGGGCACAACGCGGTATTTGGATATCAGCACCACGACACCCTCTGTGCCCACGGAGGCATACACCACACCTGTGTACAATTGTTTTTAGTTAACAAGGCGCGTGTTTGTTAATTGATCGATTAGTTAACGGGGGTGTCGGTGGCGTGTGTCAGTGACGGTGTGTGAAGTGTTATGGGGTAGAGATGGGTGCGGGGCACAGCGCGGAGGGCAGTGCTGGGGCGTACGCGAGCGACCCGCCCGCTCACGATCGCCGCAAGACTCACAATAGGAGGCGAAGGTGAGTCTTTACATTCTATCTTTAATGATCCATCTAATCTAAAACAATAATTGCCACTTACCAACGATAATATTTACATCACAGAATATACTATGGCACCATGGGTGTCATAGTATATTCTGTAAAATTAAGGTATTATGACTTTGTACCCTCTAATTTCACTGCACCTTTCAAACTGAAACATGCAATCATAACTACTTCGCGACAAAAACACAGAGGGACCTATACCTCGGGACCAGTATTTCTGCCGACTTTTGTGTAGTCTTCTTCGGTAAACTTTCAAGACTCCAACATATAGCAACACTGTTTCACTGTCATTTGTTTGAAATTTCAAATTTGTTTGTTTGAAGAAACTAAAAGTACGGCAATCGAATTATAGTTTTACCCCAAGGTATCAAAGGTTAGAGCAATTATCTAGAATTTATTTTTATACGCTACTCTATATGTAGGTAAGAAATTTCTAGTAAAATCTTGTCAGGTAAACTTCCACGCATTCAACCTGGAAACCATCGTTATCAAATCCTTCTGAATTCGCCACGTTAGACCAATTGACATGACATCATCTTAACCTAACTCTTGCGGGGAAAAGGATCGTTAATAATGGGCTCTAATTTCCCCATTGCTAGCAAAATTATCCTATCCGATCAACCTCCATGCGGGTCCCCCTGGAAACCATCGTGGTTAATAATTGTTGAATTAGTCACGATGAGCCAACTGACCTACTTCATCCTCACCTACAATCTCTCTCACTGTTGCCTCGCCAGCGTATACCGATAGCGCAGGCGAGGCTACTATACACCATTTCATATTCACCCATTAAAAGAACCTATCATCTCTCACACACCACTCTTCACATTCATTCATAGAAAAATATCGGCAAATTTCCTTTCTCCCCCAAAATAGGGGTAAGTATAATAATATATAGCAATATCTATATACATTAGTTACAATAAATACATATTGGCCCAATAACATATCTTATATATCGGTTATCCAATACATAATATTGTAATAAACTTGACTAAATTAATATAGATATCAGACTAATATGAGCGAAAGGAGGGAAAGCGATTGTTAGTAATGGAGACTAAAAATCCCATTGCTAGCAATATACCCAACCAGGTCGACCTCCTCGTGGTTCCCCCTGAAAACTATCATGGTTAATTCCTGATGAATTCATCACGATGGGTTAACTGGCCTGTTTTCATTCTCATCGATCACCCTTCACTGGTGCTCCTCCAGCGTATCCCGTTAGAGCAGACGGGGTTACCATTCAATTTTCATTCCCCAAAAAAAAAAATATGAGCGATATTATACTCGATGATAACCTTTTATCTGCCAAGATATCAGAGGAACCCAATATACTCGTATAGAAATCGCAGAGGTACTAATATTGCCCATGTCTACCATAAAAAATACGTATATCAGATCATCGTTGTTAATTAGTTAATGGGGTCGTAAGTAATACTGGTCATTTTAGAACCATGATTCTATAGAAAATACGTTCAGTTTCATAAGTTTGAAAACATCCCGTTGGAAGTTAATTAATGACTTCGATTTTACCATTTGAATGAATTAGCTTTTTTTATTACCTGTCCTTAGATGATGACAGATGATGGATAATTTAAATACTTTATATAGTAGGGGATTTAAAATGACTTTGCATTTAATAAATTCGCAATGTAATTTATATTGCGAATTTATTAATTTAACTTTGCAAATATGATTCTTATAATGAATCAACAACGTGACCAATTTAGACATCTAATAACTATAAAATTAATCGTACGTTTGAAACAAAGGAAACATATATATATATATATATATATATATATATATATATATATATATATATATATATATATATATATATACACACACCTACCTATTTATGATTTAATTCTTTCTACCCAATGGTTGTCTGGAAGAGATTGCTTAGCAATAAGACCGCCTTTTGTACTACACTATACTTATTGAAAATTGTTCAACAAATCCTGTTATGTTGGTGCAGTAAAGTGTTAAATAAACAAATGTATATATAAACACATTTGTTTATTTAATCTCTTCCAAACAACCTTTGGGTAGAAAGAATTAAAGCATAAATAGGTAGGTGGCGCGTTAAAAAAATTAAATTAATTACATTAGTTATTGATATAATACGAATAAGATCGTAGTTATTGAACGTGCATTGTTTAATTTTGTAATAAAATTTAAGTAATACTGTTTTTGTAGCATTCAAGGTTTGTATTTCATAAAATACATATGTACATGATATATGTAAACAATTATTATAATCCGGTTGTTATTAATCTAATAAGAATTAGTTATTATAGTTAATATAATTATATCTGGAATCAACTTTAAAATATTTCGTAAAAGAACAGACTAAAAAATTATTTTAAATGATGCCAATACCATCGTCATCATCATCGTATTAGCATTTAACTGTCCACTGCTGGACATAAGCCTCTCCCTTGGGAGATTTTGACAGTAGTTGCCACACTTGGCAGGCAACTGCAGTTAGGTTTTAGAGATGTTTTAAGAGGAATGTTGCTAACCATCCCTCGCTCTCCCTTAGTCGCCTCTTACGACACCTACGGGAAAAAAAAGAGTGGCCTATTCTATGCCAGGGCCATACGGCGAAATTATACCGATATGCATATATTATTAGATATTTTTTTACAAAATACCATACATATGTATTTTAGTATTGTAACTGAGTAAGAAAACAAAGTATCATGGTTTCGACATTACGGAGATCATGATGTCTTAAGAGATTACGTTTCAGCCGAACAAGGCTCGACTGCGATCACGTGGTCACCTAACCCTCCATCAGAGGGCATAGACGACCGGATTAATGACAAGATTGAGCCTCAATCTAAACATGTACTTTGACATCAGAGGGCGCTAATACTGCTGTCAAATATATATAGTTATTTTACACAATTACTAATTTACAAATTACATATTCACACCAAACGCCTGATCCTCAAGCTAGGATATTGTGTGTTGTAAGGATCCAGGTAACGAATACATGGGGACACAGCCCAGAATATTCATACCCGGGCCATTTGCGAAAATTTGGTTTTCTAAATTGTCCCAACCGGGAATTGAATTATTTATGCAAAGATATTTAAGACTATTTATGCAAAGCAACATGCCTACCACGGCGGCCATCAAAACATCAATCTATTAATGACAAGCTGGAAATATCCTCTTTTTGGAAAGTAACAAAAAAAGAAACATTATTTAACTCTTATATATAGTAGGTATTTTTTATACAAACAATTTATTATCGCCCTTCTAATGTCTTCTGAAGAACAGATACTTGGCAATATTCCAAAGAGTTGTAACTGAATTAGTGAAGCCTGTAACCACCCGGTAGGTACGCCCAAGGCAAGTTCGCACCGAACATTGAACAACTTAAAGGGAAACCAAGAAAGTCTCTGATAAGGACAACGCATGTTTTGTGGTATTATTTCCTCTGAATAACGAGAAGACGTAACAAAATAACAATACTACGTTTGGCTTTATATGAAGTAAAAAAAAATATGATGATTCCATAATTAAAAAATAAATAACTAAATTGTTGTTCTACAAAAAAAACCGATTGCAATTATAGTAAAACCACTTATTTTGATTTAAAAACTAAACTAATAAACCGATTTTAATAAATTTTTTACGGGATCAATTTATAAGCAGACCATATTTTAAACATCACAACACACTTGGAAAACATTACCCACTTTATTTCGACGATAGGGCAAAAATAAAACGTTACAATAATAATGAATATTCATTAATAAACTTAACTGCTATGTTTGTTCTATAAAAGTACTTTTTGAATACATTAACTATAAACTCACGTATTGTTTTCCGGGCTAGTTCCGAGATAGTTTGAAACACAAGTACAAACAAACTCAGTTATGTAAAAATAAATTTTATGCAAATACAGTTTAAAATAGTTTTAGTTGCCAAAGTGTGCCTCCTTTTTCCATGGTACTTTCCTCCATACTGTAGGTGGTGGATACCAACAGCAAATACATTCCCAAGCAGGGTCGACGTCAGACTAGTTGTAAAACTAAAAGTCAAAACCTTGGGTAATATGGACAGAAAACATATTACGCCGATCCCAAAATTTATATAATTGGGATAAGGGTAGGAAGATGATGATAGATTATTGTTTATTGCATTAGTTATCTGGTTCGACTTCGCACGTGTAAAATTGAATTTTAGATAATAATATACGAATATATCTTATGTTGCCGTGTGTTCCCGGTACAGAATAGGCCACTCCTTCCTTTCTCGTGGATATCGTAATAGACGACTAAGGGAACTTAATAATCAAAGTATAAGCAACAGCGTCACCCTTAAAACTTTACTAAAGCCTAACTGCGATTGCCGTGGTTCCCCCTGGAAACCATCCTGAACAATTCTTGTTGAATTCGTCACGATGGGCTAACTCACCTGCTTCATCCTCACTTTTTTTTTTTTTTATACAACTTAGAATGGCAAACAAGCTGACGGCCCACCTGATGGAAAGTGGTAACTGTCGCCTATAGACATGAGCAGTACCATGGACATAACAGAGTATACTGTTTCGCCCATGTTACCCCCCATGCGTTGCCATTCCTGAGGATTCAGGTGTTATTCCTCTGTACCCAGTAAATTCACGCCATATCCCACCCTTCAAACCGAAACACGGTTGACCTATCATCCTTCACTGGTGTCCCGCCGGTATATACCGATAGCGCGGATGGGGTTACCATTCCATTATCACCCATTAAAAAAAACTGCGATTGTCAACCCGCCTGCCATGGGGGAGGGCTTTATTTAGCAGTGTACTGTTAACGGCTGATATAGTAATAATAATAATTCCTTATGCTATTCGCTGATAATGTATTCTTTTAAAGGCGAAAAGAATTCTAAAAACGGTCGAGTAGTTTTAGAGTTTATCTATTAAAAACAAACAATCAGATCCTCTTTATAATATTAGTATA